GGAGGCGCTGAAGCGAGGCCGAGGTGGGCGGCTGGTTGCTGGTGCGTGGATTTGCCCCCGGGACACTTTGGATATATGTGGTTCCTCGAGTTTTTCGGCATTTCACAGCCAGGAGAGATCACTGTTGTCTGGCCCGGCCGTTTGGTCCTTTCCTCCTGTGGTAACTTAGGGTCCTTTCCCTTCCACATTGACGCTGCTGGGGACACAACGTGTGCTCCCTGCCCTCCGGAAACATCTTTTTCTTGTCAGTATTTCGAGGTGGGTCAGAAGGAATTAAAAATCGTCCTGAAGTGTACACCAGCATCTTTGAGTAGTGGTGCCCTCAGTGCTTTTGGCTGACCCCCGTTCCCCGCCGCCATGCCCTGCGTGCCATCCCTCATGCCCACCAGGCCGCTGGGAGCCCGTCTGGCTTGAAGTTAGGCAAACAGTGGGCAAAACAAGTTTATTCTGTTTTCCCGCTTTCTTGAAACCATGCTCTAGGTGGGTGCAGAGGCACTGTTTTGAGTTGTATTAAATTTTAAAAAACTTTTATTTTCCTAGATGAGGTATATGAACCCTCAAGAGAAGTGCCTCAAGAAGAAAATGCTTGTGGCAATCTTTATAGAGAAATGATGAGATCTCCCTTTTTTTTGACCCCCATGAGAAATTTGAGACCACATGAAAGCAGTTCCCTATCAGATGTGACATAAGAAAGAGAAATGTTGATTCAGCAAGGTCCTGACTCTGGCACTTACCTCTTAGGACATAAGTAGCAACTATTTCAATCACGTTAACTTCAAAGCCATTATTTTAATCCTTAAGTATTTGTCTGTATGAGGGCTTGACTTCCTCTGGAGCAGTGGCCTTGAACCTTCAAACGTATCTAATTTAACTCACATACATGTTTTGTAGGACTGACTTTATATTAGGTTTAGCCTTGGAAGTGGAAATCTGAACACCTGGATTTATTTTACAGTCAATAGACTTTACCACTTGGAAATTGACTCACTGATACTGGAATGCTTCAGTGATAAAATTGGATATATATGGGGGGGGGGAGGATTGGTGGATGATATGGGGGGGGGGGAGATTAAGGCTTTAGCAAGTGAGTATATTTTCTAGCTTGTGAGATAAGATAGCTGTATAGTTGTGACCTTTTTGACTCTATACATTCTGGTTTTGGGAATAGGATTCCTAGTTGCTATTGTAGTATAAATAAATAATAATCTGTATACTTGTAGTTAGAGTATGCAGAGAAATAAAAACGTTTGCTGGCTAATTAGTGTCTGATATTTTTCCTCATGTAATGAATAAACTAGTTGTACAAATCTTTTCTACTTTTACTATGACCTGAGTTATCACAGTTTGGTCCCGTTCGTGCAGAGGTTGTTGAAGCTGGGTGCTGCTCATAGAGCTGACTTTATCAAGGCAGAAAGTGCAGAGTCCTCTCCTGACCACACAGGCACTGGAATAAAGTTTCTCTGGTCCCAGCACTTAGATCCTTTACTTTGCTTTCTTACTTGCAGTGGCTGCTTTCCCCCTTTCCCATCTTGGCCTTTCAGCACAGAAAGCAGGTTAATTAAAATACAAAGCTTCTACATTATATGCAAATCAAAAGACAGGAATGAAAAACTGTGGCTCTTCTGTGAACTGTGGAAACTGCTCTGTTCAGCTACCTTTATATAGCCTCTCCTTCCTCTGTCCTGTGCCAATCCTGCATGATCTGATTGTCCAAGCACAGTGTTACTGGTATGAATGGTCTTCTTGTATTCAGGTAAAGTGATTCACGTTGGGAAAGTTAACCATGTGCACAAGTCTCCCCTAAAGCATAACTTAGACATACAGAAGCTAGATTTAAATAAGGAGTAGAAACAATAAACAAACCAAAAAAGCATAAAGCAATTTAAACAACCAGCTTTCTCCTTTTGCTTCTTTTTCAAAGCCACTAGTGTGAAAATAATTGTATTTGATGTGAAAAATGCAATGAAACTATATTCTGTCTTGGGATTTGTAGGTGCTGCTTCCATTTGAATAACAGTATCAAATTAATTAAAACACTGGGGCTGCTTATTTTGAAACTAAGGTGTTACAAGAACACAATATCCAAAGTGTGCACTTTGGATATTACACTGTAATATCGTCCCTGCTGATTTCTGTTAGTTTAGAGTAATTTTTATATTTAAAAACCCACACAATCCTGTTGCTATGGAAGAGATAATGGGGGTAGGTTTCCTGTAAGAGATGATAATGAAAGTGATCACAAGGCCTAAAGCAAATAAACATCAAGGTAGCTATTTCCCCTCCTTCTAATTGCTTCCCATTACAGTCATTTTAGCTCAGACTTTTAACAACTTTAAAAGAAAAACCTTGGCTGTAAATGAGGTACTTGTTCACGATGTTTTTAAAATGCTTTGATGCAGCAGCTCTTACAGTGAAGTTACTTTGTCATCTCAGAACATCTGTACGTGGTTGGTGTTTTGAGGTAAGTAAGGCCATTCAGGAAGGATGGTTTACTGGTGGTTTTTCCTTTTATTTACATCAGAGGAGAAAAGCAGGTTAAATTGTCATTTATACTCTGTGGCTGTGTTAACAGAAATAAGTCACTCCTGCGTACCATCCGGCAGACCTTTTTGCTGTCATAGCTGTAGTCACAACTTTTGGGTGACTACACATCTGGAGAGCATTTCCTCTGTTGCAGACATATTCTAAAAAACCCAGATCCAGCTGATTTTGCTGGCCGGTGTCCTTTGAGTCAGCATTTTGGTTGCCACAGAAGGAGGCAACACTCCAGATAATGACTGTTACTTATGGGTTTGACAGACTGCTGCGTGAAAGCCGGGCACCTATGCATTTATAATTAAGCACTATTGATTCTGTGTTTAGAGCCCAACAGTGTGTAACTGAGAACAAAATTCTGTCTGATAGTGTAAAGTCAAGTCCTTGACTGGCAGAAAATGAGAACAGAATCGGAGCAAACAGAATGGCATTTAGGTACCTAGTATAAAATCTTGGCGACGGTAGAGCTTTTTGTTAAAGCCTTAATGTTTTAAACATGGCTTGCAAAGAGGATTGGGTGCAAAATTGGGCCTGTGCCCTTGTTTGTTGCTGTCCGATTTATAGAGAACTCTCAAGATACTCTCTTTAAAAAGCTATTTATTCACTTTTGCATTGGAGACTCAGAGATTGCTGCCTTGGGAAAACTCAAGTTTCAAAAGAAATAGTCAAGTTTGGACATGATGAGAGGAGTCTTTTGAAACTTTGAAACTAGATTGTTTAAACCTCTTTAAAGTGTATTTTAAGTTTGTATGCCTCATGTATCCTTAGGTGAAAAGGCACCTGTGATAACGAATCTAAACTTCCTAAAGAAAGAGGCAAGAATTCCACAAGACACCTCTGCAATCCACAGGAAGTCCAGGGAAGATGGGACTTAACATTTCCCATACAGTTAAGGTTAAAAAGGCAGAAAAAATTTTAATGAAAAAAAAATTGTGTTTTTTTCAAGCAATCCCTTCTGATTTCATTAAAAAACATTCACTCGCACGTAGGAGGGATGCACTCAGAGATGTATTCAGAATGTATTCAGTACTCTGGATGATAAACTTCTGATTCTGGCAGAGTGCTTGATTCCAGAGACAGCAGCAGCGAGTGTGCTGTGGCTTTGCATAGGGGAACTTTGGGGAAAGGATCGCTGATCAGTTTTGGTTTCCAGTCTATTGAAACTGTTTATTTAGTTAAATGTACCATTCTCTTGTGTCCCAACAGCAGCTGCTCGATCTTAGTCTTGATGTCTGAGCACTATAATATGATCCTGGCATTCCTTTTGCAAAAACGTCATAAATAATTCCTTGGGTGGGAATGCAGGGGGAAGGTGATGCCACGGTTCGGTGGATCTGAACCTGGCAGGAGAAGAAAATGCGTTGAGTAAACTGCAGCAGCATCTCCCTTGTTGCATTTTCCTCTGAGAGAAGCCATGGGTGGTTCTGACTGTTGGCAACTCTCAGAGGTTGACCCTGTGATTCTTTCATAACCATTCTGGTTATGAAAGGAAAGGTGGTTTTGTTTCCAGTGGGATTTTCTTTAGCTAGTGTGCTCTTTCTACTCTTTGGCAACAAGACTGTCAATCAGACAGTCAAAACCAGAAGGCAGCTCCAAGAGACCATGTACTCCTTTAACTTTCTCAGTCCTGATAGGTGTTTGTCTATTTTCCCTCATAGACCTCCACAGATGGAAACTCTGTGGTTGACCTAGCATTCTGCTCCAGCAGCTTCACTTTGTATTTCAGGCTTTAATCTAGTTCCCTGGTTGGCTCTTAACAAAGCTCAAGTTGTCCCTGCACTCCAGCAAGCTCCTTCCTTTTGTGGCCTCTTTCTGCCATTCCTGGGGATGTCCTAAGACAAAGGAGAGGTGGATAGGGCTTGGCATGGATTGTAGTGAACAGACCTTTGCTTCAAAACCCATGATGAGAGCATAGGATCTTCTCATCTGCCCTGCTGGGTAGGACAGCACCTTCAACTCCTGTGAGTGAAGTCTTGTTCTGAATGAATACCCATCTTCTGTTCCCAGAAGTGCTATGTTGCTGACATTTGGTCTGCAGTGGCCAGTGCCATGTGCTTTGGGATAGAATGTAGGAAGCAGACCATGTCCAAATTTGCATTGTTGCAGAGTAGGGAGTCTTTGCACTGACTTTCCTGAGCTTTGAACTAGGTCCTTGGAGAGGGTCAGATAAAGGTCTTTGTGCCAATGCCTGAACTCTGCATGTATTTTCTTCCCTAGGCAAATTCAGAATACGCACACGGGGCTGGATTTGTCAGTGCCGGAATACCAGGAAATCCGTGGGAAGATGATGTCTGGCCATGTAGAGTATCACATTGTCGTCGTTACCCGGCTGGCTGCCTTCAAATCAGCAAAGCACAAGCCTGAAGATGTAGTTCAATTTATGGTAAATGTTTAATCAGTGCTGTGTTAGTGATCACTTTCTTAATCAGCTTTGATTATTTTGTAGCAGACACTTTGTCATCACAGCCTTCCTGGGTCAAGGTCCTTGGTACAACAAAATCTGTACCATTTCTGCAATACGAGTATTATATGTATATTAATTGACCTTTTTATTCCAGGAGCTCAAAGCAACAATGTTTGTTGTTGCCTTTAAGGCATTTTGCATTATGGGTCAACAAATAGAAACCAATTAAGCTTTTTATAAGTCCTGCTACAAAATTAATTTCTCTGATATATGTATCAGCCCTGGGACTTGGTACATAAACATGAAATATATATGTAATAGTTTACTTGAATGGAGAGAGAACCATGTGGGGCAATAAGAGGAATTAACCTTGCAGTAGGTTAGCCTTGACCTATTAGCCGTGGTCTATTAGCGTTGACATGGTTTTTAGAATCCTTAGTAAGAGAGTTTTACAAGGAGGTGTCTGTATAAAACATTATTGAGTTGGATTGTCTTCTTCATGATGCCTGCAGAGCAAAGGTTTGAAAACGTAGCACATGAGATTCATTTCACCTGTTTTAAGTTATCTGTAGCATGTACACGTCCAATTGAGCTGTCTTACCTGGGACTGTCTATTGAGTCGATGGAAAAAGGTACCTTTAGGGTACGTTTTATTTGATCTGCTTTAGCTGTCTGCTGATCCACTCCCAAGAAGTGTATTTCTCTGTCCGTTGACTATAAAAGGGACTCTAAGGGGATGCACATTGTTGCATGCTGTGAACATCTGCTCTTTTCAGATGTTTTGGGGATAACTGTGATGTCAGAGTGATGTGAGTGCATGGTTACCTGGTAGACCGTTAGCCCTAGTGTAACTCACACTCCGTAGAAGATAGCTGTTAAATGGGTATTTACACAGTCTGATTTGCAGATGAAGCAATGTTGTGAAGAGGTGCATGGTGAGGAGATCTCATACATTTATTGCACTCCTTATGCTATATGTAACTTTATGGTAAAAGCAGCAATGCTGGCATAAGAGTCTGTTCTCTTCTTCCTCCTTGTCCCTGACTGCTTGTTCTCACTCCTGCAGTGTTTCCTTCTGTGTGCAGGTATCGTGGCTATTCTGTAACATCAGCTGAGGGACTGGTCCTGGCTGAAAATGGGTATTCATGGGTTTGTTATTTAGTACTAATTTACACCTGTTTCTTGAGCCTGCAAGTTGCACAGCCTCATTAAAGTTTATTTTAGGACAGGGGAAGGGCCAGACATGGGCAGATAAAGAGAAGGGGATGTGGAATCGCTTTTTTTCTGCAGCAATGCCTGCTTTTATTATGTAATATTTCCATGCAGCTCTATGCTAAAAAGAGCCTGACTAAACCTGAGGTGTTAAACTGGGCTACTGTCATCTAGCATTTTGCTTCATTTAAGAAAAAGTAGATAAAATCAGGTTGTCTATAAAGAGGAGAAACAGACTTCCTACTGTGGCCTCCCTGTTTGCTGAGATTGTCTGTTCCCATGTCCGCTCACTCTAGGAGGATTTCCAGCACTTCGTTGTTCTTCTCAAGTGAAGTGAACCTTTCTGATTTCTTCTCTGGTCAGACGTCCTGACATTTCATTCTTCATGAAGAAGAAAACTGGTACAGTCTGACGGGAATAACATTTATCTCATCAGATATATTTTTTTCAGCTGACTAAGTCTGATATATTATATAGTTTGGTGTGTGAGAGTAATTTAAAACCGTGAGCTGGGAGGTTGGAGGATGGATGCTTTGCATCGATTCATTCTGATGACTCTTTTCTGTATGTATTACTGGAAGGAACAGAGGGATTCACCTGTCCTAACTTATCTCTCTGTAAGTTGGATATTTTAATCTGAGTCTGTGCCTGCTTTTATGGTCAGTGGGGAGAAGGGGAATGAGGTGACTCATCCTCTGGAAATGCCTCTCTTCTCTGACTGTAAAGGGAAAGCATTCTACATTCTAGACAGCTGGGTCGGGGGGCTTCAACTCCAGGCTAAAATGCTTAAGTCTCAATTGAGCTGCACAGAACTCCCTGTCTGTACCACTGGAGGTGTCCTGGGATTTTCCACCTAAGCTTCAGAAGGTTGTGGGTCTCCCATAGGTCCTGTGTGATATTGCCTGCCCCACACAAGCCCCTTGGATACCTCAAAGCATCTCAGATGGCATGAGGTGCCTGTCTTTAGGCAGAACAGTCTGCTGTCTATGATTAGATGTTTGCATTTGCTGCAGATTTCTAAGCTCCCATCCCAGTCAGTGCAGTACTGTTGAGAAGAATCTAGCTGAGCGTCTATGGTGTGGGGGAGTCCACTTTGCATAACATACAGGGCTGGTACCATCTGAGAAACCCTAAGTTATCCCAGGTGTCTGCATAGGGCTGACAGATGTGACAAAGGACATAAAGGCATTGGCAGTGCCCTGGAACAGAGTGAGGTGAGACACAGTACACCATCCAAGGTACCACTAGCTGCCTGTGTTCAGGTGAGTTGAGTTTCAGTCACATCTTGCCAAAATGTAGTGGCTATATCTGACTGTCATGAGACCTGAGACGACACCTGCATGTAGGCAGTTGTTTTAACCTGGAGGCAAGTCCCAACTCTGTGGCTGCCAGGTAAGGTGAGTTGCACCCGTAGTGTCTGTGTAGTGCTCTGTTCTGCTGGATGTTGTTCCAGCACAAACAGAAACTGCAACCCTTCCCCACAGAGTTTGCAGGTAAAGTGTAAGAGAACCAGGTGGCTGGGGAACAGCAGAGAAGAATGAGATTACATTGGGCAGCAGATCTAACACATCAAATTTATACTGCAAGGTGGAGTAAGATGAGACATATGGAGGAAAAAGAAACAACTATGTGCCTGTTCTGCCTTCCCAAATATAGGAGCAGGATGGGAGAGGGAACGTTTTTGTTGTTGTTGTTGAAATTATCAAATTTGAGAGGTTGGAGGAAGGAGCCGATGTCACAGTGCTGAGATGACAGGTAGGTTAGAGAAGATGGGTAGGCATGGTAGAATTTTCATTGACTCTGGATACGTTAATCTAATTTTGGCCGCCTCAGGAGCCAGGTCTGTGTTTTGAGACCCTTTATCTTTCTTCCTTCTCTTTCCCCTCTTTTTCTCCCTGAAATATTAGCTAAATTGATTTTCCTTGTCTAGCTGTTCTTCCACCTGCTTCCAGTTGAAGTGACTGCCCTCTACACTCTCCTGCCCTAGATGGCAGCAATGAAGCTGGCTTTCTGTGCGACATGGTTGAGCGGCATTTATTGCTCAAATAGCTTCTCTGTATCCCCTGGAAAAAGATGGTGAGCAGGACAGAAGTGTCCTCTAAGCTAGTTGTGATCTCTGGGCTGCAATGTAGACCACACTGGATCGAGATATGTTAAGGGCCTATGACCAAAACCAGGTGAACATCAAAAAGATTTCAGATCTGACCTGTGGAGTTACTCGCCTTTACTGTGGGTCTAAATGATCCACAGTTCCCTGTTCCCCAGCTTTAATGGGACTACACAAAATCAGTATCATAGCATTGCTAATTGAAACGTTTGTGAAGCATTAACAGAAGAAGAAATTAACTTCTGTGATGATTTTCAAATCTAAATTCTTAGAAACGAGGGATTTTTTTAATTAAAAAAATGCCATTTGTAAAATAGGGCAAATGGGTTGTAGAACTGCTTAACCTTGAGGTTATATTTGGTAATTGAAGGAAAAAGCAGCTGCATTTCTTTCAATACTCTTGCCTTATTGAAAGAGTGAAATTGGTTTGGGTTTTGGTACTGCATCAGAGATACTGCTGCAAAGGTGATATTTAATTACTGAGCATAGTTCTGCCATTTTCTGTGAGAAGAAGAAAACGTTTTGTTTTTCTTAAATGCATTTCTTCTAGCCACACCTTACCTTTTTTTAGCAATTAACTTCTCTCTTCCCAGCCTTGTTAAAAATCCACCTATAGTGCCTTCTCTTTCTATCTGTGCCCAGTTTAATAGCTTCTTACAGTTACATTTGTTAGTCAAGCTCTTTCTTTTTCAAAGCTGAACAAATAACTACTGGTGTTTAACAAGCACAGTGCATTTTTGGGAGGAATTTACTGTAGAACTGTCTTCTGCTCATAAAATGAGGGAGTGTAAGTACGTGGGTGTGTATTCATCTATGTTTTCATCATTGCCTGTTTGCATATGTTGGCCTTCTTTCTGTGGGCCTCAGAATCTGTGCATTGGAGTTGCTGTTTCCTGGTGCTGTGAAGATAAATTCCTTCACATTATAACCTCTTGTGATGTGAGAGGGGAAAAAAAATCCCTGCTCAGTGTAGTAATAGGTTCAGGAGCCATTAAGAATTCATGTTGATTAAAAAGAAATATTAGAGTGCTTTCTCTTCTGCTGGGCAAAACAGATGGGGAGAACAGCATGTGGTCATGTAATTAAAATCTACCATAATGCATACCCATGAGGTCACCAAGCAACATTAATTCTGGTATAGCTTGAATTGGGAGGGTACAAGGAAAGATTGGTTTGTGCTGTTTACGAGAAGGGATGCTTTTGATTCCTGTATCCAAAGCTGGCGGTTGTTTTAAAGGACAGTGCTGCTATATCTGCATTTTCTGACGATGTTAAGAAGTGGGCTTTGTGAAAAGAAAGTTGCAGTAGCCACGTTTTTTATGAAATACTATAAAATCAAGAGTGCTCTTCACTAGCATGCATTGACTGGCCACAGGGCTGGAGTTAGCTCAGATCTCCATTTTGTTCAAATCCTTGCAGTAGATATAAAGCATATGAAGACAAGTTTGAGGTCAGAAATGGGGTATTAAAAGGAGCATTAAAGGGAAAATAGACATTAAATCCCATTAATACTGAGTGGGATCAAATTCTCCTATGCACATATGAGAGTCCCAGGCTCATATCCTACAGGCATTCTGGTGTGTGTACTTTCATGCATGAGGTTCTCCTGAAGAAGGGGGCAAGGCACATGCATGAGATCAGAGGGATTAGCAGCAAACTTCAGGCTTTCACTTTGAACTTCCTGGTGGTTTTCTTAACCTTCTAGCTATATTTGATCATATTCAGCTTAGTTATCTGTTCCTGGTGCAAAAAATACTCAACTCATCCCTGTCTCTCTTTAAGTTCTATGTTGGATGTTAATTGTTACAGGCAAATAGGGTCTTGACCTGGCAAATATGCACATGCTTTGCCATATTTGCATGATTAACTCTTTTGAAGTGAAGTAGATTGAGCCTTTGATATTGTGACTTGACAGAACTCCTTGAAGTGCGTGCACTCAGGCTGACTTACAGGTGGTGGGGGCTTATCTCCGCGGTATTCACAGAGTTCAGATAGAGGCATGGAGGGGGAGAGGATAATTGCAGGATCAAGACCTAGAGGAATTACAGGCAGCAGAAGAAAAATATTTGAATATTAATCAAATGGGACTTTGTTTATTTAATAGGATTGATAAAATGAGTCTTAGAGCAGCATTTATTTTTATCCTGACATTCTGGGCCATAGGATCCATCAGCTATTTTCAAAGGATTGTGAGTGGTAACCAGGAAAAGCAAGATTTGGTTTTATTACATGCTGATACGCCTTTCTCCTAGAAAATTGTCAGAGGATGCCACATTGAAAGGGTCCAAAATTGTCGTGGCAGAGCAGTGCTTCCTGACTGCAAAGGTGTGAGAATGCTCTGCACGATGTGTGGGACAAGACCTGAGAAAATACACTCTGCAAGACCTGGCTGGCACTTTGTAAGACCCCTGCCTTGCCTCTGTGCTGCTGCATCCAGCTCTGGGGCCTCCAGCACAAGAAGGACATGGACCTGTTGGAGTGAGTCCAGAGGAGGCCACGAAGATGATCCGAGGGCTGGAGCACCTCTCCTATGAAGGCAGGATGAGAGAATTGGGGTTGTTCAGCCTGGAGAAGAGAAGGCTCCAGGGAGACCTTATAGCAGCCTTCCCGTACCTAAAGGGGGCTACAAGAAAGCTGGGGAGGGACTTTTAACAAGGGCCTGGAGTGATAGGACAGGGGGCAATGACCTTAAACTGGAAGAGGGAAGATTTAGATTAGATATAAGGAAAAAATTCTTCTTGGTGAGGGTGGTGAGGCACTGCAACAGGTTGTGTAGAGAAGCAGTGGATGCCCCATCCCTGGAAGTGTCCAAGGCCAGGTTGGATGCGGCTTTGAGCAACCTGGTCTGGTGGAAGGTGTCCCTGCCCATGGCAGGGGGGTTGGAACTTGATGATCTTTAAGGTCCCTTCCAACCCAAACTATACTGTGATTTTAACTCCATCCGCCTGAGGTTGTTGGATTCAGGCAGCCTTACTGCTGCATTTCCAGCACCAAAACCAGGATGGCAGTAGCGTTGATCGAAGATGTAGAGGAGCCAGCAGCAGGCAAGGTCTGAGGCAGGGGGACAGCAGGTGAAGAACCTCAGCTAGCAGGGGCTTGCAGGGGCCGGCACTGGGCTTAGGTAAGTGGGGATCGGTTTAGGCTGGAGGTTTAACATCTTGCCTGTGGTAGGTTATCCCAGCAGAGGGCATCCCCACACTGTTGGATATTAGCTTGCATGGAGTGCTGCAGGCTTTTGGGTAGCATATTGGTATGCTTTGGATATAGCGTTATCACACTTTGTATGCTGTGTCGCGTGTTATGGTTGGTGTTGTTCAAAGCCCACGCAGATTCACAAAGGCTCAATTAGTGATAGGATGCGAGGGTGTGCATTTACTTTAGGTTCAGTGGTGTAATTAGACATAAATTGAGATTTATGAATTATTTACAGAGTTTGATGGAGGAGGAATGAAAATTAAGTGGGGAAAGAAATAAGTTTTTATGTCTCAGTTCAGTGTTACTTTTTGAGTATTTTAAAGCTGTTTTGGCTTAGTCTTGTTGATTGGCTGCTGTCCTGTAATACTTTCAGACATTAATTTGTTATTTATTTTGAAATTAATGAGATGTTAAACATTTTTCACAAATCAGACTTGATTTTTTTTTCTGAGCGGAGAGTGGTATTATTTATTCATTTGAAAAAGTACCAGTGAATTCCTTACTGCCCTTACATTTGTGCTTACACAGTATTTTTGGGAGGGGCTCTGGTGTCATACCCTGTTCAGAGTGCTACTAGAACCTAGCAAACTAGAAATCTACGGCAATTCAGAAATTCCAGAGTTGCTTTCCTCTCTCTTTTTGGGGTATCTCAAAGGGAGGATTGTCTTATTCTGGGAACATCCCTTTATTGCTGTCACTTCAAGTGCTTGGCTGCTGAATTATATGTCACATCCTGCATACGGAGCACAGTGTTGCTTATACTTGCCTGTGCTGCTTACAGGAGACAAGTCTAAAATTCTTGGTTTTCATACCCCTGTCGACTCAGGCTTGGTTTTGTGCTTCAGATCTTTCTTATAGAGCTGATTGCCTTTTGTGGCTGGACACTGAACCTGCAGTGAACATTGTACAGCTGAAATGCAAATATTTTTCAAATCAGCTAGCTTGGTTGATAATTACTGCAAAAGGCAGGGAAGCATGAAAGCTAAGTGGTCGTTGTTCTTTATGCCTACATCTAATTTAGTAAACTAGTGGAGGTGTGTCTGTTAATGTCAGGACCTGTTCTCTAGCCTGGAGGGCAGCTAGCACAGTCTGACTGCATCCGTAGTACGAAACTTTCTTACCATCTGCAATGGGCATTGGTACCCAAACTGGCTACTACATGGTCTCTGCACCAGGCTGAATCTTGGGCTGAAAAATTACCCGGGAGGAGTGCTAGCTGCCCAGAGTCAAAACTGTGCCAGACATTGTCAGGTACTGGTAGACTCTGTAAGGTTCCTAATAGACACTATCAGGTTCCAGTGTCTGGGAAATATGCCTGATACTGTTTAGTTTGCTGGTATAGATGCAGTTTCTGGATTCTGGGTCAATCTATATCTACTTCTGTGCTTTTTGTTAGGTTGACTTTCTTTTATCACTGTGTTGGTGGAAGAACTCTGCCTTCTTCCACCCCAAGATGTGGTGCTTGAGTCTCTCCATCTTTTATGTTGTGGTATTAGTCAGAGTTCACTCCACTAGAGCTCACCAACATGTGTTACAGGAGGATAAGAGCTGGACCATAGTAGAGGATCTGTGCCATAGACTCTTCACTAGCACTAGTTTTTTGGATTTTTTTTTTTTTTTTTAATCAAACTGTATTCATTGAAACACATTCAGAGATTATGGGGCCATGGAGGGCCATGATGAATATACTGTCTGCATAATACCGCATTTGCAGAGCATGACAGTCACTCTCCATTGCACCTGTAACGTCACTTAGAGATAGTGTTTTGTTTGTGTGGGAGTTTTGTGTGTTGATTTTTTTAACGTACTCAATTCAAACCTTAATGTGGCATAGAAGCCACATTTCTAACCAGCATTCCCACGATTATTTCTTTCCTTGTAATATCTTGGGCTTTATTTCTCCTCAGGCTTCCTGTCTTTGTCTGCAGAAGGAATTACTCCACTCACTGTTGGCATCTTCTCCCTGTATGAGAACTTATGTGCCATGGCCAAGTTGTTGGTTTTTATTTTCTCATGGATAAACTGAATAGTTAGGGGTCAGTTGAGGTCTTTGCCCTTTAGTTTCTATATTAGGTGCTCTGCAGGGCAGCAACCGTACCACCAGTTTTTCAAACCTTAACAACCAGAAGGGCACTGAAGCCCACCAGGGCTGTGAAATGGGTCTTCTGGCTCAATGGTGAAAAGATTCAGGCTGCTTTCTCCATCAGATACCTACCTGGCTGGGCTTCTCTTCTCTCCCATCTCTCAGGGTTGGATATCGTATAGCTCATTTTTAGTGGACGAGGATTTTTGCTGTCAGAGAAGAGTATCTGGAGCAGTGACCTTCCCAGTATTTCATTAGTTGATGAGTCAGACAAATGGATGGTGGCTATCTGGCAATGAAATTCAGTTCCATTAGGGAGCAGATTTTAATAGTAGAATTAGAAGACCAGCAACAATGCTTGGGGAATCACTGTGTTAGGTAACAGACTTTTACTAGGCTGTATGTAAAGCTCCTTGGTAATACATGTTTTTCCACTTCAGTTTTCAGGGTTAATGTTTCACAGTGCTTAAACTGCTGCTTTGCTGCTCATGTCTCCCCTGTAAAGAAACTTACCCAGGGAGCATGTTTCATTGCAGGTTTCCAAGAAGTACAGCGAGATAGAGGAGCTCTACCAGAGACTGGCAGCACGATATCCACAGGCTTCTCTTCCGCACTTCCCTAGAAAAGTTCTCTTCGTGGGGGAATCTGACATCTGTGAACGAAGAGCTATGTTCAATAATATCATGAAATTCATCTCAAAAGATGAGGATCTAGCAACGAGTCCTGAGTTACTGGAATTTTTAGGTAACTAAAAGATGTGAGTGTCCCCTCTCGCATGAACGTGCTTGATAAAAACGTTATTAAGTTCTTGACACAGGTAGTCAAAAACTAGAGAATGCCAGAATAGAGGCTGTTACTGAATATGTTCTCTTTGGCACCTACAGTGCTGCATAGCCATGTTTGCTAGTGTTTTCCCCTCCTCTCAGTGAACACATGCCTCATGGAGAAGTGTTGATGCCACAATGCTTGCTTTGAAGGTATATATTCCACTGTCTCTGATTTCCCTTAGGCATATACCTAAGCTGTGATTCAGAACATGTAAGTTTAGAAGACTAAATAATCATATATTGTCAGTGGAGAGAGGGATCCTAAAGGGACAGTGCAGGGTCTCCTTTAGTGATCAAGTGTTCCAAGTTTTGTCTGTTTTTCATTCCTAATAAAGTTGTTAGGCCTTGCTGAAGAGGCCCTGAGAAAGATTTGAATAAAAACCAGAAAACCAGATTCTTTATTAGTTAAACCCATTCTCTGGCCTCTTTTTTTTTTTTTACATTTTCCTTAGCCTCATGTCCAGTTCTTCTTGCCTCTTCCAGTGATTCATATAGCTTGTTTCTTATGTTCCTTGGGCATAGCAGGGAGTCACAGAATGAATGGAACAGATGGGCTCTCTGCTCTTAATTCAGCTGAAATCTGCTGAGCAGGGAATACTCTAGCCTGGTGCTGTGCAGGATTCTCAGTGTAGCATTAATTTTAAGGAAGTGAAGTTGCAAGGTGGTAGCAAGTCACCGTGTGTGAACAGCCGATTTTGCAAAAGTGTCAAGTGTGGCCAGATTCGACGTTCTGTGAGACTGGCAGCTTCCTAAAGTCAAGGGGTGCAAAATTGCATAATGTTTGGCAAAATCCTTCTGCTAAAAAGGTTTTGGAATGTTTTGGGTTTTTTTTTCTTTTTTCCCTGGCAGTGTTCTCTTGAAAGTAGACCTCTTGCACAGAGACTTCAGAATTCGTGTTGATTAACCTTGGCATGCTGATTAACATAACCATGGTGCACATGTCTGCAGCTGAATTAGTCTCGACTGTCTTTATACTGTGGACAGATTGGGTGCAAGTCATGTGACCTGTTCATCGGAATCTGCCTTAGAATTAAATCTCACCCTACCAAACCAGGTGGAATTCAGTCCGCACATGCAGAACTTCAAGCTACTTATGTACACTTCCCTTACAGATGCTGGAGACCTAGTAGATATATTCCAGTGTGTTTACAGAGAATCAACGTGGTAGAATAGAGGTAACTGGGGATAAGATAAGCAGCACCCTAACGTTCACTGCCTACCCTGACCAGCACTCTCCTGCCTATAAAGGGAGCATAACACCATTTGCTCCTGGTGTAGACACCCCCATTTAGTCAATGAAGTCTGCCCTGGGTGATTTGGCAGATGCAAGAGTGAAAAGCTGGGTGAGATCAGTCTCCCATGCTATGTTACTTTAACAGTCGAAAGGATGATACCATTAATTTTATCCATCATGGTTTTCACTAGCCTGTTTTTAGCTAGTCTTATTATTTTAGATTGCTTTGCTGAACATCCAGAGACTCCACTGCAAGCAGTAATTCTCTCCTCATTCTCCTGGGCTTTGCATGTAACAAGTATGGTGAGAAGACTTGGTCAAAGCGCATGTTTCAGTCTGCTGAATTTGCCAAGTTGGATGGATCTTGTGTGCTGCAGGGAGTTAGAATTTCAGGCTTTGGTTTTGAGTGTAAATTGAAGAGCTGCTGTGGAAACGTTTTCATGCTGTCCAATGCTCTAATTTTAACACACATGAATTAGTAAAAAAAAAAAAAGTGGACTTTATCTCAGCTAGCTATGTGAAAGTTAGCCACTTACATCTAAGCAGAGTATTTACGGCCTCTCTGTAGCCAGCGGAGAGAATAGGCACTTCAGAGGGAAACTCCTTCTCAGACAACTTTATTTGGATGGGATGAATCACCACTGGAAATTCTATTGTTTCTATTAACTATAGAAGGAACATAAATAAACAGATTAGACATACGCTGCTATGTCTCAGATAAAGTTCATTTCCTCTGTCTTTCTCTACTTAGCCACTTTAAATCAGTAAACAAATCAGACACATAATGACATGTAGTGGTTAGAAAGGACAGTGAGGAATGTTGAAAGTTTCACAAAAGGTGATCGTGTCCTTCAGTCCCCAAACAAAACCATCAGCAACAGGTGCACGGTATTGAATAAAACATATTTGTTATCCTGCGTACTCAGTTTTGCATCTGTTACTGTATTTTGCAGGAACAAAATCTACTAGTGCCATTGACTTCAAGGGTAAAAACATTCCTGATGACAAGGACAAAGAACACGAAGAAAATGAGGCATTGGATTTTTTCAAAGAGGAGAAGACACCTGACTTGATCTCACAGCTTTCATCAGTGGAAAATGCCAAAAAAGGGGAGAAAAAGGATGAGCAAGAGGAGGAAGAAGAGGAAGAAGATTTAGACCCTCTTGGTATAATCAGGTATGGCTGATAGTGCCTTTGTTACTTGGTTTTTAGCCTAGTTTTCTAAACAAATAAGGCTGTTCTATGTCACTGTCTCCTCATCCCAACACTTTATAACATTGACCCCTTTCAGCTGAATTTGGCAGAGGAGAAGAGGCCTCTGCAGCTCGTGAATGAGGTGCCTCAGTAGAGGGAAGAGACTTTTTAGTGCCTCTTTAGTGCATTCCTCAGGAAATCCAAGTGACAGAGGGACATTGTGAATGCCTTGGTAACAATCTCAGCTACGTTAGGCACTTTACTGGATGCTGCAGGGTTCTACCACAAAACATAAAGCCATCAGGGTCCATTGGATGTGCCATTCTGGAGTACGCTGATGTTTGCAGTGTCTGGAACTGCTTTTGAGCTCACTTGTGTCTGCAAGGAGGTAAAGTTACAGGAGCGTAAAGACTAAAAGAGCCAACATTTCAATCACAATATTCACAAATAGACTTTTCTTTCCTTCTTCTGTTACCTGAAGGAAATCACATACTAAATGCCACTAAGGCATAAGCAATAACAGCTTGAGAAACAAGAATTGATTCAAAACTTGCTGATGTTAATATATGTGTTTGCTTACCTGTCCAATAATTTTCAGACCGTTATTTTCTTCACTTAAAGATGGAATTTCTCACTTAATTCCAAAAAGCATTTCTAACTACTGAAGCCTGGAAGCAAATTTAGTTTCTCAGTGGTGGGGATCATGAGTAGTGAGTACTTCTTTTAGGGTATCTCAGGCTTTAGATGCCCAAGTAGAAAAGGCTTAGCTGTTCTTGATCTTCAGTAAACACTGAATTGTTTCAGCCACCCACAGTCACCAGCCACTACTGAATGTGCTTGTCTGGGACCCAGACAGTGCTTTCAAAATGCTTCTTCATAGCAATAGGCAGTAACTGATAGTAACAAGCCAGAGCCCTCTCTTGGTGTTTCCCAATTACCTTGAATCATGTCCAAGGGGATCATTCACTCCAGACTCTTAAACCAGAGTCTCCCACACTAGGTCGGGTCAACTACAAGAATTAATACTGGAAGCACCATTTGGACTTTACTCCTGCTATTATAATCATATGTAATTGTTGACGTCTAGATAGCATCCTTTTTACTTGAAGTATTTAATCCTTTACATATCACCAGAAAACTTTAAATATTATTCTTTTGACAAAGCATGTGCTTAATTACTCAGCATCAAAATTATTCTTTTGTTGAAGTAGAGTTTTAAAAAGTTAAATAACTATTTACAATGAGAAGTTAGATAAAGCAGTACTTCCCACAAAATGATCCTTAGTTGGTGAATTTACAAAAGAAACTGTCCTTTTTTGGATAGGAAAATCATCTATTGGGTTAGCAAATGAAATGTATTTTCCGACTACAACAAGTAGAAGCTGTAAAGAACTTGCTGTGCCAAAACAAGCAAGAAGTTTGCTTTTCTACTCTGCACAGTTTGACATAGCATTTGAAAGTCTTGATTATTTTGGTCTTTTAATGCATTGAAGGATGACAAGATCTGGTATTTAATCCTCATTTAGTTTATTGCTTCCATTCCTTTTGAGAACAGAATTCTTACTGAATCAGAATAGCTTCATTTTATGTAAGAAGTATGGTCGTTACTGGTACAGAGCTGCAGCATGATGTGTTATGCAGTCAGATATTTTTCACTCTAAACCAGTGGTTGGCTATCTATAAAAAAAATCTCCATATGTATTATTATTTTTGTAAATCTCACATGTACAGTGTCAAGGCAGAAACATGAAAGTGGAAACAAGAATTGCAGGCCTCACAGCTTTAGTGCTTCAGATGTGCTTGAAGTTAAATTGGGATGGGAATGAATAAAAAAGGAGGTGATGCAGACTGGATAAGTATGTTTAGTAGTAAACTGCTCCCTAATGCCTAGTAAATTCAGGATAAAAAAAAAAATCCACAATCCTTTCCCCTGTGAAAAACCTTTGAAAAGATGTAAAGTCAGCACTGAAACAAGCCAGTCCATTCCAAGCAGTATCAGTGGCCAGGGTGCTTTGAGCAGCAGAGCTCTGACCTAAATTGAATCATGTGTTTGGCATAATCTTACAGGTTTTTTTCTTTCTGGATGAGGATGAAACTGCTCCAGTAGCACAGGCGTCCATATGTTGTCAGCACGCTTCATTTGGTAACAACTTTTCCTCCTGGGCCAGAAGACTGACTTGGATTTGGCCCAGCACTGCTGCTGTGATGCTGAACCACCAGATATCCAGTTAAATATACTGGCCTTAGGGGTAAAATGCTAAACTAGAGTCTTTTTTTTCTGGTTTTGTATTGATGGTGATCATCCCAGTGGAAACTCATAATGGTCTGGTTCCTTTTGCCTGGAGGAGACATCCCGGTTGCGCTGATTCTCTTCCTCGCATTCAAGGCTGTGTCTGAGTTGCTGCTTCATGTCTGGTGGGCAACTCGCTTGCCAGTTCTGCTCTTCAGCTTTTGTGGGTATAAATGATAGTCTACAAACTTTGTGTTTCTCTGCTGTGTGATTCTCATGCCCAAAAGCTTGCTTTCTGTGTTAGCAGGCTGATCTTGGCCCATGTCTGGGATTCTTAACAACAGAAAGACTTCTTTTTTTCCGAATCAGGGACATTTCAAAAATGACAATACATATTTTTGATTAAGTTTTCAGCTTTTAACACCCTTCCTCCTTTATTTTTTTCCCCAGGCCTCATTCTTCCTGGAATAAAAGGTGCTCAAAATTAAGCTTCATTTGTGGGGTGCGGTGTTGAAATTAATTTGAAATATGTTTGCAGGGGGTGTGCTTTCTCCTCTTCACCCACTGCCCTTCTTGATAGTTGGAGTATCATTGATCCAGTGTATTGTCACCAGTTACTCTGCAAGTTTTCCTGGACATTTATAGAAATCATTTTAACTTTGCACAGAATATACAGGTCCCGTAAGAATAAGCACTCCTAATACTGAGTAAGATGGTCCTTTAACATCAGCTGTGCAGCAGGGAATGAATATAGTGTACTCACTTTTGTAGCAGTGACACATTTCTATCTCTATTTCATTTTTCTTGGCAGTGTAAGTGTACAGTGACTTCTGAGTCACAAGGATCTCATAGCCAAACTATTTGTTTTAAAGTTAGCATCTCTTTTTTTTTTCTTCTTTTTTTTTCTGGTAAGCTGTGATGATTAGAATATCCCTTTGTTAAAATGTTTTAATTCCTTTATAAGTAGGAAATCAGATATATATATTACTCAACACTGTAGGCACAATATTAGGTATATTGACTTGTCTTTGTCTCTATTGTTCTCCTTTAAAGTAAGTGCAATACCGCTTATTATCACTCTTTTCTAAATATATCCTTGTCAACATTTGCAGATACATATTTTTAAGTCCTTAGTAGGCTACCATAGTTCTTTGACAGTATACCTGAGTTTTTAGAGGTGCAGTATCTTTTAACACTGCTGTCTTTAAAAGGATTTTCCTTGTAAACTGCAAAATAGTACTCCAACTGGAACGCCTTCAGGAATAAAGAATCAAGAATACTAGGTCTGAAAGAGGCTAATCCTCTAAAGCGAAAGGCATGGAAGACAGCCACAAGATGGAGGAGCTATTCACCTGCAGCTAGGAAATTCTTGATGATACCACTGAAAATTCTGCGATGGAAAAAGGTGTAATTTGCCAGTGGTCTGGGAGAAGATTTGCATGGAGTGAAAAGAGCTGTGAAGCAGGAATCTGGAGCAACATCAATGCTAGTCTGATCAGCTGTGCCAGGGCGTGTTGGCTAAGGCTGACTGGGCAGTATCTGCAATATCTACACCATTACATTCTCCTGTTCTCCAGATTAGGTTTGCTACATCCAGAATGCCCACTGGAAATGGCTGCTGGCCTTTCCTGCTTCCTGGGCTGTGATTATGGACTAAGAGCAGCCCTGAAGAGAAAGACCTGGGGGTGTTGGTTGTTGAGCTCAACATGACCTGGCAATGTGCACTTGCAGCCCAGAAAGCCAGCCGTATCCTGGGCTGCATCCAAAGCACTGTGACCAGCAGATCGAGGGAAGGGATTCTGCCCCTCTACTCCGCTTTCGTGAGACGCCCCCTGCAGTACTGCCTTCAGCTCTGGGGTCCTCAGCACAAGGAGGACATGGACCTGTTGGAGCGAGTCCAGAGGAGGCCATGAAGATGATCAGAGGGCTGAAGCACCTCTCCTACAAAGGCAGGCTGAGAGAGTTGGAGTTGTTCAGCCTGGAGAAGAGAAGGCTCTGGGGAGACCTTAGAGCAGCCTTCCAGTACCTAAAGGGGCCTACAGGAAAGCTGGGGAGGGACTTTTTACAAGGGCCAGGAGTGACAGGACGAGGGGCAATGGCTTTAAACTGGAAGAGAGAAGGTTTAGATTAGATATAAGGAAGAATTTCTTCACTGTGAGGGTGGTGAGGCACTGGAACAGGTTGCCCAGAGAGGCTGTGGATGCCCCATCCCTGGAAGTGTTCAAGGCCAGGTTGGATGGGGCTGTGAGCAACCTGGTCTGGTGGAAGGTGTCCCTGCCCGTGGCAGGAGGGGTTGGAACTGGATGATCTTTAAGGTCCCTTCCAACTAAACCATTCTATTTTTCTATGATTAGGATGGTTTAGGAGAAGGCAGGTTATCCCATTCTAAGGGGAGTACCAGGGACTGTCCTAACAGCTGAATCGTTGAACAGAGCTCCTGTGCTCAGGCCTAGGCTGTGAAGGAATTACTAAAAAAAATAGTATGGCCCTGAACTCCTCTGCCCACAGGGGTTAGCTTTCTGACTGCTACCGTGTTTGTTCCCAGTCTTCCCTGAGGGTTCCCTAGGTTTTTGCTTTCTGTAGGGAATTCAGGCAACCGGTTGTGGATTTTTTTTTACTTAATCCATGCAGGATCAAGGTAGGTATTTTTAACTCTGGATCTTAAAACCATTTTTAAAACAGTAGCTGAATTGAGTTTTGTCTTCTCCCTCTGTGGATGAACTATGCAGTTTTATTGTTTGTAGGTTGAAGCAAAGAGCTTTAGCATCTCTCTTCCCTCACTTTGTAGTTAAAACAACTGAATTTATTACTTGTATTCAGTTTACTCCAATAAAGCTGAGATAGCAGCTGATTAAAATAACTCTGAACTAGCTACTCTGAATGAAGCAGCAACAATTTTGCAAAAGGAGTGTGACTACTTCATGGGTTAAAGCATGCAGCAGCCCTTTCAGTGCATGCATTTCTTCAGCTGCAATTAACTTCTGAGGTAATATTTGTTCACCAGCTTGGGAGAATCCACCTTTTCCTGTGCTTTCGTTTCCTGTCTTCATCAGCTGTCCGCAGCCCTCACAGGAGCCTCTCCTCCACATGTGGTTTCCTCCCTTCCGTTCTTTTTTCCTTTGCCTCCCTAAATCTTTCAGTGAGAGCATATCTTCCCTCAGCCCTAGGTTTTTCCTGGCAAACTGCACAGAACCCAGAGGTGGGTATTCCCCATGCAAGAACTCATCTGTCTCCTCGTGTGTCCTGGAG